CTCTTCCACCGCGGGCGCAGGGGGCGCAGGGCGGTGCCTCCCGACGGCCGCAGCGCGCAGGGATCCGGCGGAGGCGGAATGGTGGGGAAGACGGCGCGTCGGCAAGGTGGGGTCGGTCCGGCCGCGCTGCCGCCCCGCCCCTCTCACGCTCTCTGCGGCGCGACACGGACCTACCTTTGTGTTCAGGCTGGAGCTGGAGATCTGCGAGGAACCCCATGAGGGTTCGCGTGCACCGTACAGCCAAGGCCCCCGAGCCGGGGGATCCACAGCTTCAGTGCACGCCCCAGTGGGGGACCCGGAGTCCACAGCCCACGGAGACCACCACTCGGAGACCCTCTCCAAGATTGTCCCGCACTGAGATCCCTTTCTACACCCCGACTCCCTGCAGGGAACTCCCAGAGACCTGCCTTCTCCCAGGGCCCTGAAGCCAGCCTCTAGCCATCCTGGTGCCCCGGAGGTTGTCTCGGTCTCTGCATCGACCACAGGACGCAGCCAACCGGGGACATCGTGGGAGGGGACGACTTGAGCACTCGGGTAGTAGTTTCACTTCCTGCTCCTGGGGCACATGTCCTGCACCCCAGCCGGCACGGGACCCTGTACTGAGTGGGATCCTGGGAAGCGGGTGGGATTTCGCACCTTGCAGACAGTTACCACCGTTTTTTATCTGGGAAATTCTTCTATCTCAAACAGCTCTTTTTATTTTCCCAGGGCCCACTCGGTTTATAGGGTTTATTTTAAAATGAAATGACCATCTGAGACCGCTTGTTTTTCAAAACCGTCCAGGAGGAGCAGCGGCTGCGTTAGCATTGAGCGCACATTTTTTAAAAAGTAATTTAATTGACAGATGAAGCAGGCGAAAGCTGTGTAACTATGAGCTAGGTTTAGACTCTTTCCAGATGAGACCTTGCCCTCCCTCCCTTAGAACCTGAATGCTTCTTACCAAGCAAGCCATCCAGAGTGGCCTCACTTTGGGGAAGGAGCGACGTTTGCTGATCTCGCCTGTACTATGAGGTTATCCCACTGTGACCCTCCCGTCCAGCAGCTAGGCCCACGGAGTTTGGTAGACTGGGGGTTTTATTTTGATGGTAGATTGCCAAGTTTTGGACGACCTGGAATCCCCTAGCTAAACACAAAACACGGGACTGTGAGGTCAGTCCTGGTTGCAAGCACGCACAGCTCTGTGAAGTCGGCATGTACTTGGTGAGCCTCTGAGCTGTGGGTGTGCAATTGCCCAGTTGTGCAATGTGGGTGCAACACTCGTCAGGTGCTCTGAGATTTCCCAGTGCTCCCCCACGGAGTGCATGGTACACTTGGCCAAGAATAGATCAGGTGACCACTGAGTTCAGCCCTCCCTGAGAGTCTCACCAGAAGGCTTTTATGTATTCCAGTGATTATCATCTCAAATGATATTGATTACGTATATAGCATATATGTGTGTGTGTGTGTGTGTGTGTGTGTGTGTATATATATATATATATATAATGATATTGAGTATATTATATGTATATATATGCTATCTATATAATATTTACTATATTGTAGTGTTTTGTTGTTTTCAATTGCCAAAGGGGCCATGCACTCATCAGAGAAAGAGAGGGAGGAACTCTCTAGTGGGCTGTGGTCATGCTCTCCATCCCATAGGACTTGGGGCACTCAGGCAGACACCTACCACCTGTGTTCCATGCCACTGTAGCCGATTCTGCCAGGGGTTGGACACGTGAGATCATTTCCCTCAACTGCTAGGCACCACCAGCCCAGAACATACTGCCGTTTTTAAGTGCTTGTTTTAGTTCTTTACATACTTATTTATCTGTTAATAACTAGTTTAGTTATTTGCTATTTCTCTCCCTCTCCAGATTAAAATGTAAGCCTCATGAGCATAGGGACTGGTTTTGTTCATTCTCTCATTCTTTAGAATAGTACCTGGTATTTAACTGGTGATCAGTAATTGATTATTGAAAGAGCATGATGTAGGATAGTGTACATGAAAAATATTTAGACAAGTCACCTTTATTCACCCTGCCTGCCCCAACCCCACGGACCTAAATTATGAGACGCACTCAAAAATGTTCACAGCGTTGAATTAAAAATATGATGGATCCTATGATGCGTGCTTCACATGCTTTCTTCCTCATTTTCCTGTAACATGGCAAAGATAACTGCTTTATTGCCCCTTCAGGACTGTTTTCGGGAGTTAAATAAAAGGTTTAAATTATGAATGCCGTTTGAAAATAAAGTGTCATAAGGTTGTTTTATCTTTTCAGTACATTGTATGAAAAAGATGTTTATATTTAAGATTATTTTTCTGACATCTCATGTAGGTTTATTGAAACCTGAGTCCTTAAGGTTGCCTAAAAACATATGTAAATACATGTTTTAGCAGAGATTGCGACAGTAATCTTCACAGTTTCCTCAGATTTCATTCTCAGGACACTCTGAGGGTAATATTGTTAGGCCTGTCTTTTATTTTTATTTATTCATTTATTGTTTAGAGAGATTTTTTTTAAAGACAGAGAGAGACAGAGAGATAGAAAGCAAAAAATTACTCCCTGGGAAGATGATCAAGCTGCAATCCCATCTCCATTTTCCTCTCAGGATTTTGGGCACACAGGCACACATGCCTGGTGTGTTTTAAGCCACCTGGTCTGGGACTAGAACTGCAGTCAACTATGTGGAGTCCAGCAATGTAACCATTACACCGTCTGCTGTTCCCTGTTAGGCATGTCTTAAAAATTAAGGAACTGGGGTCCAGCAGTTGGTGTGGTGGTTAAAGTGCTGGATTCCCATATGACTGACTGTGCGGTTCAAATCTCGGACCCTGTGGCTTGAAAATCATTCTGGGTGCATATGCGTGCGTGCCCAAGACCCAAAGAGGGGAATGGAGGAGAATGGATTGCAGCATTGCCATCCCGCTGTTCTGCGAGTACACACACACTATGGCAAAAGAAAAAAAAAATTAAGGAACTGAAACTTGGGAGGATGAAATAGTAACCTGCTTAGTCATGGTAATGATAAATTCCTCAGTTGAATTTTTTTTCTCTTGCAGAAATGACAATAATTTATCTTAATAGAAAAAAAATCGGTCATTTAAACATTCCAGTATTGTGTCTTTTCACTCTGCACAGTGTTAAAAAGTTAGTTTTGTTTGCTTTTGTAAACAATTATAGGTACAACCCATAGTAAATACCCATGTGGGATTTGGAAGACTGAATGAGGCCCAGCTTGGTTCTATCCACTTACTATCATCACAAAGAAGGCACTGGATTATCAATACCTGGTCAGGCTCTTCCTGCCCACCCACTGTGATCACAGCTCTTTCACTTCTCCCCATCTAAGAATCGAATAATAAGCATCTATTTTAACTTTATTGCCTGTCAGGCATAGAGTCACCCAGACTGGATAGGCACCATTTGAGGCAGGCACCATTCATTATTTCACAGAAAGAAAACCGATGGTCAGAGGTTAAAGTTAAGCAGCTTGTGCAACTGCACACAACTGATAAATGCCAAAGCTGAGTTCTGAAACAATGCCATCCAGTTTCTGGAGAAGACAATTGAAATGACATTTAACAGAGGTGGTTTGGGATAGTTTTAGCATTCTCTTTTTCTGATGATGTGTGTAATGCCAGCTCTTTGAACGGTCTGGCTGTTTCATTAGGAGAAAAGACATTTTTTAAAAAGATATTAGCAGGGTAGTAATACTTCTCCTATTCCTTTCTCCTACACTAAGAGAAATATTTACATTCTCAGAGGAATGAATAACAAGGTGAAGGAGGCAGAAGAGAATTTCTCCGATTTAAATACACAAGGCCATTCATTGCAGAGCAGTAGGCGGTTCTGCAGGTGGTGATGGACCACAGAGCTTCCTAACACAATCCAAGTTCATGATCAGCTGACAGTGGACAGCACCAAGCGCATGATTCTTCGGGTTTATGCAGCTTGGACAATGGGTTTCTCAGCCGAACTATGGCAAACACTCTCCCTGATCAACACTGGATCCTCTAAGCTCTCAAAACCCCAACCTTGGGCCTTGGCCTGCTGAATCTAGTTTTAACAAGAATCCTTCTGGGTCAGTGCAGTGAAAATCCACTACCCTGGATATTTGATCAAAGTCTCCAACCTCCCTCCTCGCCATCAACAATTTTTCACCCTGGCCTGCCTTCAGCAAAAATCCCTCTAGCCTTAATGTTTGCTCCTAGAAAATTTCCATCCAGAGTTGAGCCCAATCTCTCTCCTCTACTGCAGAACCCCATTGTGATAGTCCCTATACCTATCCTGATAGTCTGCCTTATTATTTTTTAACAAGTGTTCTAAATATTTTTTTCTTTAACAACTGTGGCAAAATTACAATTTCTTGGGAAAAAATTTAAAACATCATAGAAAAATGTATCACCATCATTTCTGCTTAGGTAAATGTTTGTTTTTTCCATTTCTTTTTTTTTTTTCTTTTTAGTTTTTTTCAATAGGGCATGTGGGCTCAGTGGAAATAGATGGAGAGAGGAAAAGTGAGAATCACCCTTTTAGGGTAGATGGGGGGATGGCCATGCTGCAATCCCTTCTTCTCTATCTTTCTCTTAAGATTTTGGGCACGCATGCACAAGCACCCAGTGTGATTTTCCTAGTCGCTGGGTCTGAGACTCAAACCGTTGTCAGCTATGTGGGAGTCCAGCACCTTAACCACAGCACCACTGGTGGACTCCCTCCATTTCTTTTTCTGAAAGGCATATCCTGAAAAGGTGACTATGGCTTGGATCCAGGGCACTCAGAATACTGTAGTAAAGGCCTACGAACTTGGGTCTCGTTCTGTTCTTGCCAGGGTTGCTGTTTCTACTGGCTTTGTGACCATGGAGGGGTTGATTATCCTTTCTGAGCCACAAATGTAAAAGGATGAAATTGGTCTCAAGTCTCTTCCTCATGGGCTCTATGACCCCAAAGCTTCGCTATGTGATGGTCAGTTAAACACACAGAGAGTGTGCTTCCTGGAAAAACCAATGACCTTGAAGCTAATGGCTGTAATTGTCTTGACAGAAATAAATCCTTAAATCTTGGTTGGCCAAAGGCATTGCCATAACAACCAGTGTTTTAAAGATACCCTCATGAGATTATGTTCATTGAGGGGCTATAAAGACAAGCTTTTCTTGTGGGGCCACCAGAGCATGTCATCATCCTGGCCATCTTTGTTCTGTGTGGACATTTGGCAACATCTGGCGAAATTTTTGGTTGTTACAACTGAGGGGTGGGGAGGTGTTCCTGGCATCTAGAGGGTAGGGACAAGAGATGTTGATAAAAATCTTACAGTGCTCAAGTCACCCCACAGTGAAGAATTATCTAGCCCCAAATATCAAGAGTTCTGAGTTTGAGAAACCCTCATTATGAAAAAGGAAATGCCTCCAATTAAAAACTGAAACTGTAGAGAGGGACACTATTCTGCCTGAACTTTCCACTGTTCCCAAATAGGTCTCTTAGCTAGTTACATCTCTGGAATGATGTTAGCTGGTGCTTCTGTGACCAGAAGGACTTTAGCGCAACTTCAGAAAATGATTACTTCATATCTTGGAGAGATAAAACTGCTTTGACTTATTTTTCACCATAAGTACTATTTGAGGCTCAAAACTAGACTCTCTCCTCCTATACAAAACATAATTTGATATAAATGAAATATGTAGGCATACAAAATAGTTTAAAGAAAGTTTATGAGTTTACAATGTCAGGTAGAATGGTACCAGGTAAGTAACTAAAAAATAACACCTTGACTTGGTAGACTTGCCAAATTGTTAAACAATGAAAACTTAAGTTTTCATTTCAAATTTTCCTCCCAGGCAACTGTGTTGAGAGTAGATTTCTAGACGAGGATGCGAAACTTTGGATCGGTTGACCAGAAACCACAAACAGAAATTAGAAAACAAAATTCTAATTCTCATTTTCTTTCTCTCTTTCAAAGTAACTAAATCCAAGTTGTCCTGAATTAACCAGGCTCCAGACGTCCTCCGGGTCACCAGTAACTAGAACATACACATCCTCTTATGAATCTCCTTGGTGGAAAACAGGTGGAGCTGGCTATAATTTTCATAATGAGTTGGCAGGCATGGGGTTTACTTCAGACAAGGTTGAGTCATTCAACATGAAAAGAGCGTATAACATGATGGTTCTCTGGAGGAAGCAGGACTCCCACGCAGCATGATTTTTGTCATTACACCTTCCATGCGGCTGGACCAAATTGCAGTTTGACCTACCCCGAGCCCAGTTGGCAGACCTGTTATTGTGTAAGTTGTTCAAGGTAAAGAGACTACCAGATGATGCAATAAGACTAATTATTATTTTTGTGATTGAAAGCATGTTCACACACATGTTGGGGGGAAAAAGAGAAAAAACAAACAAACAAACAAAAACA